TACTACTGTATTCATAATAACAATGTATCTATATTTACTCTAAAAGTATTGATATTTGCTAAATTATAAACCATCAGATCATAGTAGTATCAATATTTATTTTAAAAATAATTGACATCCAAAGATACGTAATATATTAAATCTTACCGATATCATTAAACATAACTTTAATATTCCAGATTGACACATACTTCTTTATTCAAAAAAATAATAAGCGTCTAATGACTTATTTTTATGTTACAGTATATATTATTATTAAATTAAAAATAATAAACATATATATTACATATTTATTATTGTCTTTAGTTAAAATTGTTAAATTTAAATTGTAAATAATATTTTATAAAAAATATAATAATCGAATAATTTTTGTGTAAATGAAATTATTAAATTAATGTTGTAGGTGGAAAACATGAAGAACTAATAATTTTTTTGTGTAAATGAAATTATTAAAAGTATTCATACATATATTGTATGTATCGATACTTATATTTAAAACTTAACCAGTTAAAATAAAATAAGCGCTACCTATTATGTTAAACTACATATTGGTTTGTTTGAAGATTACTAATAATAATGGTTGTCCCTTGTTCCCATATGTAATGGGGTAAGGGGGAGGTAAGATAATAGGCTGCCCATAACACTAGGTTGAGAGCAGCTTCCGTAGGAGACCTCCAAATTATGAAATGTCATCCATGAGACTCGATCCCACGACCTCAAGGTTAAGAGGTAAAATAAAATAGGCGCTACCAATTACATTAAAAGGCCTACTGGTTTGTTTAAAGGTTACTAATAATATAAACAGTAAAATAAAATAGGTGCTACATATTATGTTGAATAGGCGCTACCTATTACGTTAAATAACCACTACCTATTACGTTAAACTAGTTACCGATTTGTTTAAAGGTTAATAATAATGTAAACGGTAAAATAAAATAGTGCTACCTATTACGTTAAAATACATACGGATTTGTTTAAATGTTAATAATAATGTAAACGGTAAAATAAAATAGTCACTATCTATTATGTTAAAATACCTACATGTTTGTTTAAATGTTATTAATGTAAATGTAAAATAAACAACGCTATATTTTTAAATAGTTATATTACTTAAATACGCTACCTAACGTTAAATAACTACCGGTTTTTTAAAGTTAATAATAATGTAAATGTAAAATATACACTTAACGTTTGAAATATTTTTTAAATTCGAAAGTATAATAGTTACTCTAAAAGTTGATACTCAAAGGTTAATAATAATGTATCATACTTACTCTAAAAGTATGATATTTCGAAGTATGAAAGATAAATATATACAGCTTAATTTGAAATATTTTTTAAATTCGAATATAAACACTTAAAAGTTTGAATACTCTAAAGGTTAATAATAATGTATTCATAATAATAATGTATTCATACTTACTCTAAAATTATTGATATTTGCTAAAGTATCGACCACCAGATCATAATAGTATTGATATTTATTTTAAAAATAATTGTCATCCAAAGATATGTAATATATTAAATCATACCGATATCATTAAACACAACTTTAATATTTCATATTGCAACCTACTTCTTTATTCAAAATAATATTATTGGACGCAACCTAGTATGTTAATATTTATTTATAACAAAATAAGAAATTAATCTATTTTGTTGCCGTGGGATTTCGAAGACCCCGTCAACTTAAGCTTTGGTAACATTTTAGGCACTACCTAATATGTTGATAATATTAATAACAAAATAAGTAATTAACATACTTTGTTATCGTCGGATTTCTAAGGCCCCATCAGCTTAAACTTTGATAATATTTTAGGTGTTACCTAATATGTTGATAATATTGATAACAAAGGAAGTAATTAACTTGTTTTGTTATCGTCGGATTTCTAAGATCCCATCAGCTTTAAAAATGCTCTACCTATTATATTAAATAAGCGCTACTTGTTATGTTATTATGGTTGATAATGTTTCTAATAATTAACCTATTTTGTTTTCGCTGGATTTCTAAGGCTCCATCGGCTTAAACTTTGGTAACATTTTAGGCGCTACCTAATATGTTGATAATATTGATAACAAATCAAGTAATTAACCTATTTTGTTATCATCGAATTTCTAAGGCCTCATCAGCTTTAAAAAGACGCTACCTATTATGTTACATAAACACTACCTGTTATGTTATTATGGTTGATAATGTTTACAGTAATTAACTGGTTATGCTAAAATCAATATGTTTTTGGTGCATTTTACACACGACGATAATATTCCCGGTTATTACTAACACAAATAACATTTCCGGTAGCGCTTTTAACCGGTCACCTATTTAATCAGTCACGTCGTATTGCCGTATATTAATCCGTCTCACAGAAAAACCTCCCTTTTCTTCATGTTGACTTTGGAATTAATATGAAGAAATAGGATAAATCATCTCTTAACCCCTAAATCTGGTAATTGTTTTCATCTTAATCACTATATTTTAAAGTTTAATCCATATCAATCCCAAACCTGACGCTTTTTTCATTTTTAATCTTTTTATTTCACATCCCGAGATTGAGTGACTTTATAAAAAATAGATGAAAAATCTGAGTTCAAGGACTGGAGTGAAGAAACATCTCAAGGACCAAGTTAATAGAATTTGTCAAGTTCAGGGACTAAAAGTTGCTTTATCCAACCAAAAACGCATTGCCCTTCTCCTAATTGGTCTGTAGGTCCATCATGATCTACTCCATCTAAGGTTTTCCATAGAACTTTCCCTACCAAACAGCCGCCATTCAAAGATTCCCAAAACTGTAAAAAGGAAAAAAAGGAAAGTACTCAAGAATCTCATTGAAGATTCCATTGCCCCCAAAATTTTCTTCCCAATATGTTACTTTCTCACCATCCATCCATTTTCAACTCACCATTGAAGTCGAGATTTAATCTTTATCATACCAACATTAAACTTCACAGACTATCCACGGCAGCATTCAATACTAAGCCTTTTACATCACCCACCAAGGATCACCAGCCGCTTCTTAAATGCACACCCCAAAGTTCGGCACTTTCTGTTGTTTCACTGAAGAATCACCTGCCAGAAAGATCCCAACAACAAGACAAGGACAAGATCTTCTGGGGTGCTGTTAGTTTGATTATTGGTACGGCTGTAGGGCCTGGAATCTCGGGTTTTCCAGCTGCAACGATAAAATCAGGTCCACTTCCATCGACCATCGCCATTGTTCTGTCTTGGGTTTATGTTATGTCGTCCATCCTTCTTGTTGCAGAGGTGAGTTTTGCAGTGATGGAGGAAGATAGAGTTGAAGAAGTGAGCTTTACTGGTCTCGCAACAAAGGCATTAGGGGGGTCATTTTGGTGCTGTTGTTGCGGTCATTTATGCCTCCCTTAGTTTTGCTTTGTTGGTTGCTTGTGTTTCGGGTATCAATGGTTTCCCATGATGAATTTGGTACTGGCTCATGCTTTGTTTCCTCTAGCTGTTGGGACTGTCATTGTGTTCTTTCCATTCAAGGCCATTGATGTTTCCAACCGGCTTTTGTGCTTCCTCATGCTGTTCTCAATAACCGCATTGGTGGTCATTGGTTTATCGGTGGCCAGAGCAAATGTGTTGCGCTCTTTTGCTCATGCCTCATGGAGTCTGTCAACAATTTTGCCTGCAATTCCTGTTACTGTACTCACTTAGATTCCATTTTATCACTCCTTTCATTTTCAAGATTGCTGGAAATTCGGTGTCGAGTCTCGAAAAGCAATACTGATCAAGGGGCTGTACCGTTAGCTATGGTTCTATCATGGAATTTGATTGTTTTAGGACTGGCTGGAAATACCTCGCCCAAAGACCCTATATCCCTCTTACTGTCAATGAATCCTTCTGCTTTATCAGCTGTTCAAGGCTTTGCATTATCTGCGTTGGCAACTAGCCTGATAGGATATGCTTTAAGCTTCCCTAAGCAACTTCTTGATACCTTGGAATTGATTCTAGGGAAAGCAAGGTTGGCAAAGCAAATTCCTTATCAGTCTCGGTCTCTAATGGTTCCGGGAGAGTTGGTTCTGTGATTTATTCGATTCGGCATGAAAGCGGGACTTCTGGGGAAAGCTTCATTTGGATCAAACAGCATTGCTGCTTCAGAAAATGTACAATTGTTGAGAAAAACCGACCTTAAATCATTTGAAAGATTTGTAATGCCACTTGTGCTCACTGCTCCGGTTCTTATAACTTCCTTCCTTTCAACTTTTTCAAGAGCCCTTGATTTTTGCCAGGGTTTACGCAAACTGCTTCCTCTTTGGCATCCTCCCCCCTGCAATGGCATACATACAGCAGGTAATGCAGTAATAGTTAAATACAACAATATACTGCATATACCTGTCAGAATAAAGATTACTGTGTCCATTGTACTTTCCCCATTTCTTGGTTAATGTCTTCAATTCTACAGGTCGTCGATCCTCCCAGGAGGAGATGCCGCACTTGCGCTATTCTTTTGCATCGCAGTAGTTTTGGGGATATGGCATTAGAGGCCAACAGGTAGTTCAAACAGAAGATCATTGCTGCTAGCAAACATTCTCAGGCTCCATGTTGATACCGAATTCAGACCATGATTCCTGCAAAATGTTTGTGAAAGACTTTATCTTGTCTTTTTATTGGTCCCCTCACTGGATGAACCCCACTGAATGCTAAAGTAATAAACTCAGTCATTTGCTGTTCTTGTTCATATCTATATGATTGCATCAGATTTTTGCTTGAATCAACAATAAGAAAGTTTACATGAATTCACAGGTAAACACCATAATATGTTAATGGTAAAGGAAAAATGACATCTTTGGGATTTTCATTACAGGAGTGATAGCTTAGCACACAGAGACAGTAATTTCTGTGAACTTTTTGAATGTAGAATTAAGAGGAGAAAATGAAGGAGAATTTATAACAGTAAATATTACAACCTCAAATGTCAAGACACAAGAGTAAGCCTTCCTTTTCGATAGCTATCGTTTCTTCCAAGTAATGAATGCTAAATTATGGGGAAACTGAGATTACAAAACTCAACACAATCAAGAGTAACAAGCCTAAAATTTTCTATTTCCAATCAATCACCAGCATGCTTGTGCCCAGTTTATGATGGACAGAAAAACTGCAAGGGCAACGCAACGGCTTCACTTACATTAGAGCTTAGGAATGATGATGAAGATTTACATAAGCACTGTAGCAGCAAGTTGGTAAGACCCTGTTCGACTTTGCTATCTTTTTACCATTGACATGACACATTTGATGTGAACCTTCAAGGCCAGCCAAGTAAATATCCCTGTGAGAACTTTAGTCACAAGAGACTCGTTTCAAAAAACCTAGCAAAACATCTCCGCTTAATGCGGCCTTGGGATTACAAAATTATGAAGGTAAGACCGCCTTGCTTAATAACACAGGGCTTAATCACCAATGTGCACCACACAGTTGATATATGGAGCTTGCTCTGTCGCCTCATATCAATTTAATTTGTTTTTGAAGCGGCGGGATTCCGACCAAACTGGACAATTATTGGCTTGCCTTTAAATACATAACCGTTTACGAGGTTCTGCAAGGAAGGATAATCCGGTTGAATACAAAAAAAAAATCATCACCTTATCCAACATAACAAAGAATTTATAGATCTAAAATGAAGCGGTATTCCCTGGGAGTAACTGTTAATAGAAGTTTGTGATTTCTATGAATTATATAAGTAGGAGAGCCTCAAGAACAGCATTTTGAGCTTCAATAGGTTGTCTTAGGCTAATAACACATATTACTAGCCAAAGCTTTTATCTTCGGATACAAGAGCTGATGTTTAACTTAACTAGCTATGTCACAAGAAAAGGAACCAGGTTGGCTATTTTGGTAAAAGAACCAGAATGTTGAGAGGATAACAAACTCAAGAAGAGAGCCAATTCATTTTGCCCCACTTTTGTTATTGATAATACCAAAGTAACAAGTTAGTTCTAGCTGGTTTGGCTAGAAGTTTCATTTTGCTCACACCGGTTTCATCCCTGGTCTCGAATTTTAAATGTTGAGGACTAGGTTAACATAAACAATCTTCCAAAGACAACAGTGGGTGTTATGGCAACTTTTATGCAATACACGAAATAGAAAAACTCGGGAAAACAAAAACCTGAGAGTAACATACCAAAGCATGATGGGCAAGTTCAACTGATGGAAAAGTCACAAAAGCTTGACCCCTCATCCTTCCCTCCTGAAGTCAAAAGATTATTTTCAGCATCGCAATTAGGTAACCACATCACTTTTTGATCTGCACATAAGTGAAATATTCTAAACAGAAAGACTCAATATTTCCATAGGTATAAAAACATTCTGATGTTCAAATTCCAATAATTCAACTCTTGGTTCAATGAAAAATTCAGATATTTGAGTTTGATATCAGTTTGTGCGGTCGAATGTCGATTTTCCAATAAAAAAATCAGCAATTAAGTTGGAAGATAAAATTTATAAAAGCAATGTAAATGAGTTGGAAATTAAGCAACAGGGTAAGTCAGATGTAATGTAACCTGCATTAGCTTCACATTAAGACTGGATTTAGCAGCATCAATGCTTCCAAATAATGATCCTACATCACAACAAGACTTAATCAGCAAAAAACATTTTGCTAATACCAGCAAGGAACAAAGTAATGATGCAATTGAATTCCAAGGAGTTAAAAAGAGCGGTTTTAGCCTGCATAGTTATAAAGTTAACTATTATCTTATTTTCCCATTTATCACGGTCATTAAGCTACTAAGAGGCCACTATTCGAGTAAATCAAGAAGGAATGCATTTAGTCTCACCAAAGATGAAGTAGAAATCTTCAGGAACAACATCCTTTGCCAAGTTCTTTATATACAGCACAGAAGCAGGATTACCAGCTGTATAGTTCTGCACAAACCAAGGCTCTCGATTAGTTTATGTTTTCACATATGCACCAAACTCAAGCTAGTTTCCATGATAGTAGCTTTCGTGCTTCAACAGACGAGTAAATGGAAACTTGGGAAATTGTATATTTGATTTCATCTACTATCTAAAAGCAATATGCTGAGATAAGATCCAATACCTTAAACATTGGAAGGGACAAGATTTCTTCTGGTGGCAGCTTCCCCTTTTCCAGCTCATCTGCAGTAGCAAATTGTTTGGCATCTATACCCTCCTCATTAGGTTCCTCTAGAATCTGTTTATGGTCATCATCAGCATCAGCATCTTTCTGCTCATTTGGAATCTGTTTGGGGGCAATTTTGATCTGCGAAAACACCGAGAAGATTGTCAAAATTTAGACAGAGTAAAGCTCATCCTAGCATAGTCCCATTAGATAATAGTATGACCTGTAGAAAAGGGTTCTTCTTCTTTATCAACGGGATTTCTTTTGGGATCAGGGTGGCAGGTTTCACTCCAACAGCTTCATGAGCTACACTTTTATCAATTGCAGGGCCCACAATAGCTTCTCGCCTTGCACGCTTCCTTGCAGATTTTGGAGCACCTTTATCATTGGCCTCCTACAAACACGTTAGTAAAGGAACAATGAACAACGAATGAAATCATAAACAGGGTTAACTTGACTATAGTAGGCACAGATGTTCTTCTGGTTAATTTAATCTAATATGTGATTACTAATTGTCAGCATTTTAGCAGGCAATATCTTGCCTCATCTGAAGACTCCATTTCAGATTCACTAGAAGATGCATCTTCCAAATGAGGCTTTGCAGGTGAGGAAACAGGAGGTGGGGGTGGTGGCTGCGGTGCAGGCACTGGAGGTGGCAGAGGCGGTGTGGGCAAAGCCATACGAAATGGAGCTGGAATATGCATTTTATTCATTAGGTGCAACACCTGAAATCGAGATACTATTTGGTAAGAGATACATATCCAATTGCGGTTAATCTGGTATAATGAAGTAAATATGACACAGAGGAGAGAACCTAAGAAGATTAAGAAATATTTAAGTAGGTTTAAAATAAAGGTGAAACTAAGAAAACCTGGGTATAGAAGCGAGGAACGGCAATAAGAGCATTAACAATATTGGTCAAAATATTTCCATCCAGTGGAGGGTAGGCATATCTGAAACACAAATATGCATAAACTTTTGTTCATATTTGACACGTTTATTGCATTTAGAAAGAAAACCGCAAACTCTATGCAAACTATAAAATCATTATTGAATAAATGCTTAAGCACTGGTTGCAAAAAAAATTGAACCCGATAATTAATGCTTGACATCATATTGGAACCTTCCTATTTCAAGCATCTTCTGATGAAGTGTAAAAGGAAACTTGAAAAAAAAAGGAGGAAAGACTCACTCAAGGTGAGGAGGAAATGGATAATCTACACCGAGTCTAGGAGCAATGGGTTCACTAGAAGGTATTGATCCCAATCTTGAACCTAGATTCGGGTCTCTAGTCAAGTTGGCATCTTTCAGCAAAGATGCAGATTGTGAAAAATCCTTTCCAAGCTGAACTCCAGTAGTTTGCTGAGGTTTATTATGTTCGGTTGGCTTACTAGCTCTCTCCACTAACAAGACTTTACCAAGAAACCTCAGGCTGAGAAACCAAATAAATAGGATAATCAGATAATGATTTCTGATATTGTATTGATATAAACAAATCAAAACATAATTAATAGAACAATTATTATATATAACAATAAGATAGGGGTTCCCATCCAATGGCAGTGAGAGATAACTCATGCATTTGAAAAACCAAGTTCCTAACAGGAGATAACAAAACGAACAAGCATAAGCAAGAAATTTACCCGTTTAATTGACGGTGTGCTTGAGAAGCCAATGCTTCATTTTTGAAATCCACAAACGCACAGTTTCTTAACCTACATAACAAAAGGAGGACAATATGAATCTACAGGATAAAAACATACAATGTGCAAGATCTTACAAACTAATTCCAAACTGAATAGAATTTACACAGAACCGTCAAAAGTTTAAAATTCACTTACTTTCCACTCGAGCAAGGACGAACAGCGGATGCACCATAGTGAGAGAAAAGCCGCAAAAGGGTTTCAGGAGGAATGGCCTCAGGAAGATGCCGAATCAAAAGGGTAGCTACCGAATCCCCTTCTAGAGGGTTCGCCGTTGCTCCTTCAACACCTTGATATCCAAAATGCTGCATTTGAGGACTGCTAAAAGGCTGCGAGGATGGAATAGAAGCCATTAAAACATCACAGCAACTTATTTCCTCTCCTAAAATAATCAAATAATTCAAATACTACACCTTATAGAAACAAAAGCCATTGAAACGCAGAAGACTAAAAGGAGTATTAACAAACATATTTTCCAACATTGAATTTTGATCTTTTTGTTATTTTTTTTCTGAATATGGATATTACCAAAACTCATAATATAGTAATATAATTGCAACTTTACAAATTGAAAAACAATAAGAAAAAGAACAAAACATCATCAGCATGAAACATAAAACTACACAAAATTAACAAGAATTACAAGGTAAAAGTAAAAACGCACCTCAAAGTTCTGGGTATTGATTTGCTCCGCCTGCTTCCTGCTTTCTAGCTTGTTCTTTATCTGAAACAAATCCAAGGGAGGGTTCTGAAAGAAAATTGATGGGTTTATACAGATAGATCCAATCGAATGATCTATGGGGAATTTGGGTTTTCCAAATGGGCTACTGAGGTCCAAAATCTATGGTTTGGTCATATGGCTGGGCTTTGTTTTAAGCTACTCGACATTATTTTGTCATCTCCATGTGCTTCAGAAAATAAGAAAAGGAAATACTATATCTATATTCTATACTAATATTTTAATTATTTAGTTTTTTTTTTGTTGTACTTCAGTTTTCAAGGTTTCTTCTTGGTTAATCCGAACCGACCCAAGTCATACACCTGGTTTTGATGGATGAGTCTCCTAACAAGAATTTTTTACATTCACAATGACTCGAATTCGAGACCTATTTAAGAAGAATGAAATTGTTTACCACTTGTTTCAATCTCATTGATTATTTAATTATCTTATTAATTTATCTATATTTTAATTATTTGGACTGATTAGCTTAATTTTAATCGATGTTTACAATCATCTAGGGATGTCATACTTGAGTTTTGATCTTAATATATTACCATATTCTATTATTATGTTAATGCAGTAGTGTTTATCATTTATCAACAGCGATGTTTGTTTGTATCTTAAGAAAATAATCTCAGTGACCGAAAATGTCTTATAATATACGATTTTAACCAACTTTTTTTGGATTTGCCAAAATGACCAACAAAATCGCAACGCGAACTCCAATTTCGCAACATGAATAGTAAAATCGCAACACGAATTGGAAAATCGCAATGCGAATTTAGAAAATCGTAAAATCGCGTTACGAATTTCAAATGGTAACTCTCTGCTTCTAGACTGGGATATTAAGTGGAAAATAAAACTTATCTACATGTGTACAGGAACCAGTTTTTTCTTAATATAATTCAAAATTTAAGTTTTTAAATGTATTTCATTAGTCTGAGTTAAGGATTCTTTCAAATTTCAAACTTTAATTAATTGAATTTAGAATAATTTGTAATGAAGATTGACAAATAAAGTAGATTTGTTGTTCATTTACATATAAATTTTTTCACGTGTACGAATATTTTTTATAAAAAATTATTTATGTACTTTTCTAACAAATTATTATAGATGAATGATAAGAGATAATTTACATATAGATTCGTTGCGATTTTACTATTCACATTACGATTTTACTATTCACATTGCGATTTTACTATTCACATTGCGATTTTACTATTCACATTGCGGTTTTATTATTCACGTTGCGAAATTAGAGTTCGCGTTGCGAATTTGACTATCGCGTTGCGAATTTGACTTCTGTGTTGCGATTTACAAATTCGCGTTGCGATTTACAGATTCACGTTACGAAATTGGAAACAGGGTTGCGAAATTGGAGTTCGCGTTACGAATTTGACTTTCGCGTTGCGAATTTATTGGTCATTTTGGCAAATCCAAAAAAAGTTGGTTAAAATCGTATATTATAAGACATTTTCGGTCACTGAAGTTATTTTCTCTTGTATCTTTTATTTTCTTTGAGTTGTTTAATTAAGTATTTAATTAATTTTTTTGTATACTGTTGTTTTTATTATTCAACAATCACATTTTACTCTTTATGATTTACAAGGAATGATTAATCATTGTGATTAGTTTACCTTAGATTTTATAGACTTTTTTTATTGAGATTGTGAGTTTTTATTATTTTTATTTAATAAAATTAAAATTGAAAGCTTTCATTTATGGGTGAAAGATAATTTTATTACTATTAGTATTTTAATTTTAAAATCTAAAATTTTCTCAAAGCTACTGAGGATGTTTGACCATTTAGGAGGTATAAATAACCAGAGCGTTTGGTAAATTGTTTGTGAACCATTATATAAGGTTCATTTGTTAAGCTAAATAAATTAGTATCAATAAGATTTTTTTGTGTTCATTTAATAAACGAAAGAACATGAACAAAGGTGTGTTCGAATCATTTATATTCACAAATAAACTCATTTATCGATTCATTCATTTATGTCAATATACAAGCTCGTTTATCCAGTTCTTCTTTTCCTCTTATTTTTTTACATTTTAAATATTGACGAATGTATAGGTTAAATTGAACACATGATAAAAGTTAAAATTTAAAATTGTAACTTTAAGGAGTTTAAAAACTGATAGTATAATTTTACCATTTTTTAGCTCGCAAATGAAAGAACAAAACTAAAAATTGATTATATAAACGAACTACAAAACTAAAAATTAATTGTATAAATGAACTATAAACTAATGCTAAAAGAACAATAAATGAACAATTTTTTGTAAACATATAAGCGAACACATTCATGAACATTTGACAAACATGTTCACGAACAATAAATAAACGAGCACGAACACATTCAAAAATAAATAAACGAACATAAAGACAATATCAAAAATTTAAATAAACAGCGAAACATAAATACCTTAAAAAATTAACAAACGAACACGATAATTATATCTCTTTCAAGCTCGATTTATTTACACCCCTATTCAGGGAGGCCATCGCTCCTGTGTTTACCTCTGGACAAGGATGAAACTCGCTCCTCTCATATTTTGTATAAGAAGATCGATCTTGTTCATATTTTAAGATTTTAATTAATTTTAAATAAAAATTAAGTATTATATCTATTTTATAATCAATATCATTCAGGAAAAAAAATTAATTTATTCTTAATCCGATCAACCGAAAGAAAACTCTAGAGCCCGGATGCAATGTTATGACATAGAATCATTCATTTTCCTCAATTTAAAAGCAAACTGCTGGCTGCTTGTTCTCTTTTCTGCAATTATTGTTTCTCTTTAAATTATTTTGAGGATGATCCGTTGGTTAATTTTTATGGTTAGGACAGTTTGGGTTTTAATTAGTGGAGTATAAAGAAATTAGTCCCTAAAAGAAAAAGCCCACTGTACAACTTTCTCCAACCAAACACATCACAAAACAGCTATAAAAAAATGTCTGTCATCTTGACTTTGTCCTTTTTTTTTATGTAACCAAAACCCTTCATGGGATTAAGAAATCTTATCTTTTTTCAAGTTTACATGTGAGTGCACAACTTAACCTTATTGCTACTCATCTCTGTGTATTTTAATACAAATCTTCTCCTTATCTGTCTCATAGCCAGCCGACTGTTTCATACTATGAAACAGTGGCTTGATTCCATTTCATACAATACTAGCTATTTAATAGGATACCGTTTGTACATTTTACACTATCGAATGAGGAGAAACCATGTTCTCGTGAGTAGTTGCAAAGTTATCACTCATTATTGAATCCCAAAACTATAGAATTATGATTGTTGTATTTATTTCGGATCTTCGTCGTGAAAAGCATTTTAGTATTCTATGCTTATAAGGTCTCTGAAGTTCCTAGAATTCTTTGAAGTTCTATATCTTTAGGATAATTACAGTCTTTTGATTCGATTGTTGTCAATCTTATTACCATTAAAACTACTATATGATGGTCAAATCTATTTATCTTGTCGACTTGTGAATAGTTATCGTTATCATAGGCTCGACACTAACATTTATGGATGACAGATAGGTACAATTTCATGGATTTTGTACCACATCCGCTCTAATTGGAGCGGGAGATGTATATAAGTTTAGTGGATAATAGACTGATGTGAATGTAAAAAGTCATACCCAAAGTAGGTAGTGGGTAGATGATAGGTTTGAGACCATATCCACTCTGCATCCACCCACCCACTAACTACACACTATATAAATTTTAGACCATTATAAACCACATCTGCATGCCCACTAACTACCTACCATTTGGGGTATTCACTATTTCGTTTCAACCGAATTAATCGTCCGAATCAAATTAGTTTGGTAATTCAGTCAGCTACCGAATTAGTTCAGTCGAGGAACGGTTAATACTTTTTCAATATTCGATTAACAATTACTTCAATTCGAAATTGGTTAATTAATTGAATTAACCAAAATTATTAAATATTTTATATATTAAATACATATTTGAAGCTTAAACCCATTGAGAATTAATACCCAGTTATTTTATATATTAAATACATGTATGAATTTAGAACAATCCCGAATAAAGTCTATTGGGTGAAAGAGGACATGGATGAATAAATATCAAATTCACTACTCCGTAAAAGGTTAAAGGGCTACCTTCGATCCAGTTGCTTTCATAATAATATAGATATTAGGGAGACGTTAATCGAAAAAATAGGACTTCTTCCATAGTAAAGATCATTTAAGAAATAAATATCTCAATTTATCAAGATATGAGGCCTATGATCATCTTAGTGATTTCTATATTAGTATATTATTTGTTATAATATTTTCTTATTTGTCATTAAAGTAATAAGAACGACTGGAGATTTTGGTTCAGAAATATGATGAGCCTAATATATTGCATTATGCCAACAAAGGAACCACTACTTTAAAATTTTCTCTTTATTGTGATTTAAATACATTAAAGCATTTATGAATCCCAAATATTTAAAGATCCAAAATGATAATAAAACAACGTTACAACATTGGAGTCTGTTATACAAGTATTAATGAAAATAAATACAAAATATAAATAGAGTTACAGACCAAATACATACAAGGGTCATTTAAATATACATGCACACTATAATATTCAGATATTGTATTCTGAATACAGATGCTGAAAATCTTACAATAACGGTGCTTTACGAGATATTTGGATCAACTACCCGGATACTGGAAATCATGTTGGATTAAGTATAAAGTTATTATCTATTAAGGGACTTAATTTCATATTTTTCATTTTTTGGGATGACAGGTTTTTGCATGCCCCTGATGTAATCTCTGTCTCTGTCTCTATCGAGGTGACGAGTCCATTAAAAAATATTTATTTTTTTAAATTTTTTTTATAAAATTAAAAAAAAAAAAATTCGATGGAACTCTTCACGTCAAGATGATGAGTTCCTTCGAATTCAAAAAAAAAAAATAGTCGTTAGCTAGACGTTGTTCAATGGGCAGGGACAACAACGGTCACTGGAACTTATCACATCGAGGTGACAAGTTTGATTTGAAATACTAGTTGTTTATAGTCATTGGGGGTGATCTTATAAATAAGGGTTTGGGGTTTTGGTATTTCACCAAACCCTGAATTCATTTTTCTTAAAAATGCGTTGTGTGAAAATCCTGAAAAGTGACAACATGAGAATATTGTTGCGTCTGGATAACGTCTATATTTCGTCTATCCAACGTGGGTTGAACGAGAATATACTATTCGTAGTCAGGGATGACAACCAGAAAGTTGCATCAACGGATGATGACATATCTGCATCAATTTAGTCTATTTCCGACAATATTTTTACGTGGCTTCAAGGTGTACCCGACGCTGATCGAGGCTCTGATCGAATGTTGATTCCCCGAAATGCACACGTTCCATTTCTCGAGTGGTGAGGTGACAAGTACTCTGGAATACGTAGTTTACCAACTCGGTGTTGTGGTGAATGGAGCTCCCGTCGTGAGTCATAATATTTATGACCCTGCGACATTGATCTTCCAAGTATTGGGAAGATGGCAGCCATCCGAGTTCATGAGGGGCTCTTAGGTAATGATAACGTGGATGAAGTCCAAATTCCAAGTCACGGATGAGTCTACAAAGACAGAGGTTGTTTTCGCGTCCCGAGCATTTATTCTTCAACTGATCTGAAGGATATTATTACCGGATAAATCTGGTAATTTAGCGTACACGCAATATTTACGATATCTAGAATAGTTCGTTGTGTGCCGTAATACCAGTTGGGGATCGACGATTTTGGCCTTTCTTTACCGGGAGCTTTGCAAGGCGACAACTGTCCAGCGGGGTCAAAATGTCGTTGTAGCAAGCTGGTTGATATTACTACAGTCTTAGTTCTAGTATCGCATGCCATTTTTTACGGCGATTACAGACTCCTCGGTTGAGTTTTCGCTGGTTGCAAGGTAATTTTTTTAACTTTTTTTTTATTTTATTTGTTTATAATATTTTTTTAATTTTTAAATATTTTAGATGGCGTCATAAAATCACTGAGTCAAAGTTGGTGGATACAGTTGCGCTAGACGTACGGATAAGGATCGACATCACTGGTCGACATACGGTATGACATACAAAATTATTTTTTTTAATCTTTTTAACTTTATGTATACTAACTTTGATATTTAATATTTACAGTTCTCTTGGCTTCCATATGTCGACAAGGAGATAAATCTTGTATTGTCGGGGGATTTTTTTAGGGGTGCACTTATGGTGTGCCGTGATGCCATTATTGCACCAAGCGATTATTGAGTGGATTAATTGATTCCCCAGTTTGTAGTTCACTAACCGATTCCTATGCCCCTCGAAGTTGATATGGATGCACTCCATACAATCGATACGAGTAGGAAACATGATGAAAATTGGCCTTTACGACATGCTTACTACATCGACCTATGAAATCAGCATGAACTATCACTCCCCCAATGTCAGGACATTACACCGTTGGACCTATATTTTGAGTATTCTCTTTATCTCCGACTTTACGAACGAAATGGAAAACCATATCTCACAAGATCGTAAGAGATGGTAGAATGGAAACATCATCAGGCTACGAGCGCCAAGTTCAAGAAGAAAGTGATAATTTCGTAAAAAGACTATATTTTAGGTATTTTTACTTAAGTTATTGATTGTCTAAAAGACATTGACATAGCATTTTAGCTGCATATAGTTGCATTTAAGACATATTGCATGTGGTGGATAAGTTTTACCGAGGCAAAGTTTATTTGACTAAACTGATGTTGCTCATGAGAAGGGTTGTTTGTTGGTTGTGATGATGCAGTAAATGACTGAGGAAGAATTTATTTGCCAAGACAAATTAATTTACTAGTGCCAGTGGAACAGAAAACGACAACACTGAGGAATAAACTTTCTTGCCAAGATGAGTTTTTATCTCACAAGTCTGACGTAACACAAGACTAAAATGTTGATATCTCTTGGCCAACTATCTAATACACCTCACATGAAACCGTGTGCGTGCTAAGGAATTTGGGACCATTACCAGTTGTCATATTATTCACACATGAAACCAAGGGTATTTAGGGAATTTCCAATGGCACTAAACCCTAGAAATTCCTACTATAAATATCTCATTATACCACCCTAAATGATAGGAGAAAACATACACTAAAAGTCATGCTGTAACATCCTCAATACCGGGTTAGTGATCAAATTGTAAAGTTTCAAAATTTGGTGACTAGAGTAGAACAATGGATTAGTTCAATGATTTATTTGGAAATAAATCATAAAATATGTTAGTAATTATTAAATGAAGTAAAGGGTAAAATGGTCATTTGACAATGAATATTTTTATTTTTCCCTTATAAGATAAGGAAACCACGTGGGAAGAGAGAAAAGGTTTCATAGTTCTCTTCTCTTATCTTCTTCATACGTGAAGGCTTGAACAAAATGAGAGTCTTCTATTTAGATAATTTCTGGTTAAATTTAAGGTTGGGTTATGATCATTAGATGATAACTAAGCTTAAGGAAAGCTTAAGTTATCTTAAAATCAAAAGATAAAGGAGTTAAGAAAGATTAAAGATTTGGATTTCTTGAGTGAAATATTGAAATAGAGTTTATAATAAGAATTTAATGTTGAATTTGACTTGCCATAAATAAGAATAAGAGATTTATGAAGTTAGAAATGATTAATAACAAAGTTGAAAGTTTAGTAAGATTCTTAAATTTTAAGAATCATGATGAAATATGGAATATAAAGATGGTTTATATGGATATAAGTTGGTTTAAGTAATGGTAGTTGAGTTTAATGACATGATAGAGGCTTAAAATAGAAGTATTGAGTGAAAATTTGATGGTTTCGGGCTTAAAATGCGAATTTTGGGCAAGGTGTAGCGATGCACATTCAATGCGTATCGATGCACTCTTTAAAGAAGAAACATTGAATGCAATTAGTGCATCGATGCATAAGGAGTGCATCGATGCACCCTCTTAAAATGAAAACATCGAAGGTGATTGGTGTATCGATGCATGGGTAGTGCATCGATGCACATGTTAAAGGATGCATGGATACACTGTAGAGTGTATCGATGCACTTCAATGGGAAATGGAATAAATCTTTCTTTTGGTCTAAGAAATGATAGATTAGAGTATATCAATTGGATATTGATATGTATCAATGTGTGATTATGTAGATATCGAACATGAACAAGTTCCGGAATGATTATCAAGTTAAGATTCGGTCGAAAGAGAGGAAATCATAAGTGGATTGGAACGTAGTGAGGCCAAGGTGAGTGTAGTTTATTTTATAAGATTATATGGAAATTGGACTTGTGATAAGTCTATTTCCTATAGTAAGTTCATTAAGTCTTGATCATAAGTATGTTAACAACATGAAGTGTATGTATGTTTGATTATATGAATTGATATGTTTTGTATGTGCTATGTGGTTTACGTAAAAATACTATTAAGTGTTAATGAGAGAATATAAAATAAGTTATGAAATTATAGGAATATAGAAGATCAATCAAGTGATATATGAAAATGGAAATAGATGTCTATGAAGAGTTATAGGAGAACAAATATAAGTCATATGATAATGAAATATAAGACTATGTGAATACATGGTTATGAGATAAAATATGTAATAATAGGAAAATATGATGAAAGTGAGTTCATGAGAAGTGATAGGAACTAAGTAAACATGTGTAACAATAAATGCTTAATAGAAACATGAGTTGGACAAGAACATAGTGGTATGATCCATTATGAGAATTAGTATAATAGAGCTTTTTGATTTAATGAGAGTTAAGTGAACTAAATAAGATTGAATTATAGAATGAAATGGGAATAATATATCAATTAGGAAACTTGAATATAAAAAGGATGATATGAATATATAAGATAAGTTATATGCAAAAGATTTAGAGCTATATGAAAAGGTTATAAGGAATATAAATTGAATTAAGTAAATAGATTAAATTATATAAATAAAATACTATTAAACGATATATGTTTAGAAATACGACATAGTTTATGTAATCTAAGGGAATACAAAGAAATGAAGCATAAAGTAGATGATATGACATAAGTTATTATATACATATATGATATATGTTATCAAGTAATATGAAAGGACTCGGAAAATTGATATAAGCTATGTGGAAGTGTTCTAGGTGTTTCTATGTGCTATATGATTATATGTGATTATATGTGAACAAGATATGATATGTAGGTTTACATGAACATCTAAGAAATGATCTAAGCTATATGATATGATCTACGCGATTCTATGTACTTTGGATATATGTTATATGACATGGATCTATATGACTACATGAGAAAAAATATAAGCTATGTGACATGTAAATATGAATTATATGAAAATGTTCTACGCGTAAGTGAACTATGTGAATATATGAATATGTGAAATGACATAAATGATAATGCCCATGTTATGTATCATGAGAGCTAGGGGTATAGTTGGCATGCCAAGAGTCGAGGGTCTATGCGGTCCTTCAGGACATATATGTATTCCTTGGAACATGTGTGATGTCTTTTGAGACACATACTTGATCCTTTGTATATGTATATGATTCTTAAGGAATTTTCTATGTGGTCCTTAGGGACATTTTATATGGCACTTCGGTGCAATTCTACGCAGCACTTCGGTGTAATTCTATGTGGCACTTCAGTGTATTTATACGAGCTGTGGTGACAACATTAGTGCACAACCTCAATAGACTCACATATCTTTAGTTCTCAAAAGTGTACATGGGCTAAACAAAGAGATAACAATAAAGATGGTACTGGTGAAGTATATGTTTTTGTGATATGAATTGTATTATATGATTGTTATGATGATATGCGTATGGTTTGAATGAGTCATATGTTGATGAAAAGTATGATTAAAGGATATAAATGATAATACTGTGGATAATATAATAAGATTAATGATGGAAATAATGTGTGATGTGTATATGTGTACATTATATTATATATAATGATTATGTGACATCATGAAGTAATATGTTCATATATGTTTAAGCATTTAGAGTTTCCTTTATAAATTTAATGTCTCACTAAGTCATAGACTTAGCGTGTGATTGTTTCACACGTAGGTTAAAGAAGCGAGAAGAGAAGCGAAGAAGAGCAAGACAGGTCAGCATATCTCTTACAAAATTTCAGATCAAAAAATAGATGATTTAAATGTGTTTGGTTAATTTGAATATAGTTGGCATGTACTAATTGATTGAGTTGAATATGCTCTGATCGATTTTGATTATTTTAGTCAATTTATGTAAATAAACTGCTTTTATTTTAATGAAAGTTTTAATTTTTCTTTGAATTTTGTCAAGAGTCAAAGTTTGAAAAGTCAATGTGACACCTCAGACTCGTATTCGGGTAGGGTACGGGTTGGGGGTGTTACAGATGCTTGGAGAAAGGCGGCTACAACACATCCTTTTCCACCGTCGCCCACTTGATCGTCCTTGGTGCCCTCTATAGCCAGGCTCGTCGAAGCAACGACCAGGCCTTTGAAAGATGCTGGTCGTTGGAGCATTCATGGTGGTGGTCTGATATCATGGTAGAGTTATATTCTATGAGTTTTTCTTCCTCTTGTTATTCATTTTCATATCATTTATGAGCTTGTATTTAAATATTATTTTTTGGATAATGTTTGCCACACCATAAACTATTTTATTTGGTGTTAGAAATGATTGAATGATACTTTATTAGATTGTTAATGAACGATTAAGTATGTTTTTGTTGAATATTATTTTGTTTAATGTTTTAATCTTTTGCTTTAACATTATAAGAGCTTTTGAAAGATTGTTTGGTGCCACAGCAAAAAATTTTTAGTCTTTGTAAGAGCTTTTGAAAGATTGCTATTTTTCTAGGAGTTAATAACTAATATTCAAAAGAGTTAGGTTAGATTTACGTGAACAAGGGAATGAATTCGGGATGGTGAGGTTTTAATCCACCTTAGAGAAAAGGAGAGGGTTTCATTAGACTAAGAAGGGTAAATGCTTGAGTAAATAGGCTAGAGTTATAGTTTACGCTGAGGGGTATTGCCGCATCAACAGTTTGACAAACCAAGGGCTGTAGTTCACACTGGTAGCATTGTCATAGCAAAAGTTATAGGAACACTCTAGTAAATCATGTCGGCCAGCATAGACATATCATACTAAATGACCCTAGACATAGAATACTTTCTTACCGTAGTGAATCCAACCCAAGTGGTCTGTTTGAGGTATGATTGTGTGAAGTATTTTAGAATATATTAAACAAAACATTTTTCTTTGCCTTGAAAACTTTTATTTGTTTACCTTCGCACCATAACAAAACTTTTCTGCTCACTTCACTTTACAATTTTTCTTTCCTCGGCCATACCTTTTTCCATCTATTTGCTACTACTTTTTTACTTTGTGAATACCATTAGACAAGAATCTTATGACTAGTTAGTGACACTTAGTTCTAGTTATAACAATCATAAAAAATTCCCACCAATCCCTGTGGAGACGATAACTTACTTACTACTATATTACTTGCTTCGATTATGTATACTTGCATAGAATTGTGTGCCACAACACATAGTTATACACGCAATCAAGTTTTTGGTGTCGTTACCGGGGATTGGCAATTGGAGGAATTTTGATAATTTTTCCATAGCAACTTTTATTTTCTTGTCACATTTTTAGTTAGTTAGTTTTACGTGTTAGTTTTCTTGTTTTCCTGGTATGTTTTTGTTGTTGCATGACCATGAGATCTGCTGACGAGCCATTAATACCCATCAAACCTGAGATTGAGTAATTTTTCAGACGTGACATGCTCAGGTGCCAAAGGCAATATGAATCAACTGCCATATCAGGGTGATAACCCTATGAAGGATCAGACAGATCCCGATATTGCTACAAATAATGTTCCCATAAATATTCCAAGACCAAGAGCTATAAGAGATCATTTAAACCCCATTCTCGATGATCTCAAACTGGAATCGTGGCATTGGAAATTCAGGCAGCACACTTTGAAATCAAACTGATGATGTTTAACATGCTCAATTATATCGATCAATTTGGTGGCTCGCCTAATGAAAACGCTAAACAATATGTGTGTTATTTCCTTGAAGTGTGTGATTCGTTTTGAAAACAAGGTGTACATGAGGACATGCTGAAGCTAAAATTGTTCCCTTACTCTTTACGGGACCGAGCAAGAGCTTGGCTGAGTTGAGTCCCATCTGGCTCAATAAAACCTTGGGTTGACTTATGCAAAAATTTTCTACTTCGATTAAATCCGCTCAATATGAACACCCAGCTCCGCAATGACATTGCAAGTTTTTGCTAAGACGACGATGAATCTATGTATGAGTGCTAGGACAGATATAAAAGTTTGTTTCACAAGTTCACCAGCAATAGATTCGGTTGGACTCAAGTTGTGATGTTCTAAAATGGAGTCAACGAACCCACTCGCATGATGTTGAATTTCTTGGAAAATAGTACTCTGCTTGACAAATCACCTGAGAAAATTTTTGATGTCCTTGATAGGATAGCCAACAACGATTATCAATTCCCATCTACAAGGCTTGGAACTAAAAGAAAAGTATCTGAGGTATATGAACTTGACGGTAAGGATTCAATTTATACCCAATTTTCTGCCATAACAAATATGTTGAAAAATCTGCAGCGTTCCAGTTAGGTGATAAAGTTAAGGTAACTAGCTCAACATACATTCTTTTCCGCGACAACCATCATGAGAGTGAGTGCCCAGAAAATCAAGAATCCATCAATTTCATGGGAAATTTTAATATAAGCAACAACAACCCCTACTCTAATACTTACAATCCCAAATGACGATAACATCCAAATTTTTCTTGAGGTAATCAAGGGAACAACAATAACCATGCAGGAAACTTTAATAGGCCACAAAAAAATGTTTTTGAACCTTCCAGTTTTCAGCGTCAACAGATACACTGGTAAAATATTAACAAAGGTTCAACATCTTCCTCAAATTTTAATTCCCTCGAAGTTTCACTGTAAGAATTTATAGCCTCGACAAAAGATTTCATGGCTTCAACAAAGGCCTTGATGCATGAAAACTCGTCAACAATCAAGAACCAAGGTAATATGTTGATAAGTCAAGCATATTTATTGCAAAGCCATAGATCATCTTTGAGAGCGATAAAGAACCAACTGGGTCAAATTGCCACGACATTACATTTTCGCCCACAAGGAAGCATCCCTAGTGACATTGAGATCACTAAACCTCATGGAAAGGAGCAATACAGTACGCTTATGCTGAGGATTGACACCCATATTAATCTTGATGATAAGTATGTGGGAAGAAGAAAGAAATTTCTCGCTAAGGCATGACACATGAAGAACCTGAATGTCAAGCTGAACATGCTGAACAAGAAGATTTTCCTCAGGAGAAGGAAAATGACGATGGTTCAACAAGTTACCCTACTGATGGCAGAAAATTTATTGCCAATGCAAAAGTATCAACCCTACTTGCAGTAGATGAAGTCAAGCCCCCATCACCATTCCTTTAACAGTTTAAGAAGCATAACGAAGAGGTCTAGTTCAAAAAGTCTGTTAATGTCATTGATAAGATGTATATCAATGTTCCACTGCTCAAATTCATTGAGAAAATGCCTTCATATAAAAATTCTTGAAGGATATTGTCACGAAAAAAGGTGAAAAGACTAGAAAATGTTGCCACGAAGAAAAAATATTGTTCTGTACTAAGTAAACTTTCG